CCCGGACTACAAAGTGTTTCCCAAAGTTTTTGGTCAAACTGATAAAAAGCAAGATACAACTCAGCATGTATATAGTAAAACCCATTAAAAAAAAAGAAAGTCTCTCTCTGAAGTGGGATTCCTTGTAATTTTTACGTCTTTCCACCTTTCTACGTATGAATCTATTACAATGAGTATATATTACATTTATTTCAACACCAATAAAAAAACCAATTTTCAAAAAGTCCAACTTAGTAAGCACATACTGGTGTCCCTTAGTATCAGATTTTTTGTTGTGCAAGCTCACATGTTAAAGAGATCTGGTTAAATTACTTGTTCATCTCCCACTATCCAGATTCCTACATTTTGTTTCCCTAAACTCAGAAACCAAATCGATTTAGTGATGGAATACTTTTAATTACTTTTTCTATTAGTCTCATTCCTGGCTCCATTTTTTTGTCCTTTTTTCCCCCCCTTTTCCTTCTCATATATAATTTATATATATTTTTGTAGCTGATATACTTATTGAAAGAACAAATATATCTCCAAATTCATTTAAGTTCCTTTTGGAACAACACAGATTATAAATAACATACATATGTCTGGCTCATATAGAAAAATATAACTTTGATAAGGAAACTCAACTAGAGTAGGTGTACTCTAGGGACAATGTTAATCCCCACATGATTAATTTCCTTCTATGGGAGCAAAACATTTCAACTAGGATGGACAAAGGATCTAAGAACCCAATATCCCTCACCGTCCAAAGAAGACAAGGGGGAGAATTGTTGAGTTGCCCAGAAAAAAAATCAAGAGTCTTCCTTCTCCTGGAACCTAAGGAGAAAGAAAGGACTCATTATATTTAAGCACAGAGGTTCTAGCAGTATTAGATAAGACATTCATTTGAAAAATCAAGGAGGAAGTTTTATGACATTGTGGAAGACTAGCTCCCCTAAACAATCCTTCAAATTCAAGAGAACTAAAACTGCTGGACTAAAAATATATCTAATGAACCACAATGAGATACCACCTCACACTGGTCAGAATGGCTAGAATTAACAAGTCAGGAAACGACAGATGTTGGCGAGGATGCAGAGAAAGAAGAACCCTCCTACACTGTTGGTGGGAATGCAAGCTGGTACAGTCACTCTGGAAAACAGTATGGAGGTTCCTCAAAAACTGGGAAATACAGCTACCCTATGACCTACCAATTCCACTACTGGGTATTTACCCCAAAGATAAAAATGTAGTGAAAAGAAGGGGCACCTGCACCCCAATGTTCATAGCAGCAATGTCCACAACAGCCAAACTGTGGAAGGAGCCAAGATGCCCTTCAACAGACAAATGGATAAAGAAAATGTGGTCCATATATACAATGGAGTATTACTCAGCCATCAGAAAGGATGAAATCTTGCCATTTGCAACGAGGTGGATGGAGTTAGAGGGTATTATGCTAAGTGAAATAAATCAATCAGAGAAAGACAAATATATGATTTCACTCATGTGGAATATAAGAAACAAAACAGATGAACATAGAGGAAGAGAAGGAAAAATAAAATAAGATGAAAACAGAGAGGGAGACAAACCATAAGAGACTCTTTTTTTAAGATTTTTATTTATTCAAGAGAGAGGGGGAGAGCGAGCACAAGCGGTGGGGGAGGGACAGAGGGAGAAGAAGACTCCCTGCTGAGCAGGAAGCCCAATGCAGGACTCAATCCCAGGACCCTGAGATCATGACTTGAGCCGAACGCAGACACTTAACCGACTGAGCCACCCCGGCACTCCACCATAAGAGACTCTCAATTATAGGAGACAAACTGAGGGTTGCTGGAGGGCAGGGTGTGGGGGGATGGGGTAACTGGGTGATGGGCATTAAGAAGGGCACATGATGTGATGAGCACTGTGTGTTATATGCAACTGATGAGTCACTGACCTCTACCTCTGAAACTAATAATATACTATATGTTAATTAATTTAAGTAAAAAGTAAAAATATACAGAAGTGTTCTAAAAATACATCTAATGAATTATAAAGTATATGCAAAAGCTATCTAGGGACACAAAGAGCCACTTGCCATTAAAGAAAAAAAAGGAAAAAAGAAAAGGGATAAACTGGACCTTATAAAAATTAAAAACTTCTGTTCATTAAAAAAAAAAAGTTAGGGGCGCCTGGGTGGCTCACTCTGTTGAGCGTCTGCCTTTGGCTCAGGTCAGGATCCTGAGGTCCTGGGATCAAGCCCCGCATTGGGCTCCCTGCTCAGCGTGGAGCCTGCTTCTCCCTCTGCCCCTCCACCCCCCCCACTTGTGCTTGCTCTCTCTCAGTAAATAAAATCTTAAAAAAAAAAAGTTAAAATTAATACATCAGACTGGGGGGAAAAACGTTAGACTCTCAAAGGTAACTACAAATATTTTTAATCTGCCAATAGGATGGCAAGAAAGTAAAGGCAGTCTTTACATTGGGTAAAACGATGTACAGCCAGTAATCTAGACAGCTAAGCCAGAACTGAAGCCCTTGCTACCACGGGTCCCTTGTTGTTTGGACAGCCGCATACAGGAACCAGAGACATACCCAGAATGTCTGACAGGAGATATTCTGCATAAATCTGAGATTCCCAAAGGGCTACCCATCTGCGTAAAAGTGAACAAGAAAAAAATAATTCAACCCTGCAGAAGTGGAATTTGATGGTCTCACTAGGTAGAGGGAGAAAAATGATCTCCCCTGAGAATTTCTAGGGCTAAGCTGACTCTTACATGGATTTGCAGCCCAAATTCATAATACCTATGTGGTCCAAAAAACCTGAAGCCAAGAATTTATTTGAAGTGATTCCAGGGGTACCTGGGTGGCTTGGCGAAGCATCTGCCTTTGGCTCAGGTCATGATCTCAGGGTCCTGGGATCGAGTCCCATCCCCGCTTCTCCCTCTCCCCTGCTTGTTCTCTCTCGCTCTCTCAAATAAATAAAATCATAAAATAAAATAAAACAAAACATAAAGTGATTCCAGGTTGGTGAGTGTCTCAAGGCACCTGAATGGGAAACAGAAACACTGAGAATATAGAATATAGAATATAGAATTCACCCCAGGACTCAAAAGAATTCCCATAGTTCAAATTCTAAAAAAATGTGCGTTTATAGTCAAAAACCAAAAAACAAATCGAAAAAGCACCACGAGAAGCACCTGCCTGGCTCAGTGGGAAGAGCATGCAACTCTTGATCTCGGGATCATGAGTTCAAGCCCCACATTCAATGTAGAGATTACATACATACATACATTAACTAAACAAATAACTACTAAATAAGTAAATAAGTAAACAGAAAAAAAGCACCATGAGTCAGTCAGCAGAAACAACAAACAGCAGCATCAGACCCACAACTATGGGTGTCAGAATTACCAGCACAGAATATAAATACTCATATTTAACATACTTAAATGTAATACATATTTTAAGAATAAAAGGAGGAGGGCGCCTGGGTGGCTCAGTCCGTTAAGCATCCGACTCTTTATCTCAGCTCAGGTCTTGTTCTCAGGGTCCTGAGTTTGAGCCCCACATTGGGCTCCATGTGAAGCTTACTTAAAAAAAAATAATAATAAAAGGACGAGAATTTATTTTTTTTAAGATTTTATTTATTTGACAGAGAACGAGCGGGGAGAGGGACAGAGGCAGAGGGAGAAGCAGACGCCCCACTGAGCAGGGAGCCTGATATGGGGCTCGATCCCAGGACCCCTAATCATGACCTGAGCCGAAGGCAGACGCTTAACCAACTGAGCCACCCAGGTGCCCCCAAGCCACTCGGAGCTCCCCGGTTCTTGAAGTGATGCGTGATTGATTCTCACAAAAGGAAGACTACCTGGAACCAGTGGGAGATTCCAACACAACATGCTGACCACTAAGCAGTACTTGCCTTCTGTATGTTTTCACTGCCTTTTAAATGTCTTAAAAGGCTTAGCTCACTAGCTATAAAAAGATTAAGAAAGCTGTTAATTTTCAAAAATAAAAAGACCACAAACCTCCCTGTTAACTGAACTGTAGAGAGGGATGGGACCCAAGGAAACAGCTGTTTCTTCAGTACAAGGAGGAAATCAGTGGAGATGTTCCGTGAACCAGCCGGCTGAGAAAGGGCAGGGGGACAGGGAAGGGGGCGCACCTGCAGTTGGTACAGGTGTAGAAGACCGTCTGCCCCTCGTCGGCTGAGCGCATCTGTCTGGTGTGGTAGGCCATTCCCTCGTGACCGCATCGAGAGCAGCGCCTGTCAACCTGGCCAGCAAAGGGGGGGGGATCAGGGAGGCCCCACCCTACCCCTGGCTGCTCATGGGAAGCACATGTCACACTCCTCTGCTTCCGTCCGGACCTCAGCAATCCCCCCTGCATGTCCTCACTGCCCTCCCGATGGGGCCAGTCCTGGAGCTCATTAACTCACCACGGGTCCCTGGAACTCGGGCCCTTCCTCCAGCGACACAGGCACGGCTGTCCCCAGTTTGTTGAACACGATGCAGGTGTTCACGACCTTCCCCTCGAAGTCTGCGCGGGCGGGAAGCACGGCAGTGAGCTCCCGCCCGCACCGCTCTCCCCGCGGGTTCTGCCCCGGGGCCTCCGGATCAGAGCCCCCCGCCGAGCCCCAGGCCGCTCACCTCGCACGGGGACGCGGAAGCCGCAGCGAACACAGGTGACCGCGTCCTGCGCCCCGGGCAGCGGCAGGATGGAGCCGCAATCCGGACAGAAGTCCAAGTCCGACTGGAATCTGGAGCCGGGGCGCGCGCGGTCCATGACGCACGGGGTGCGGAGCGACGTGACCGAGCGGCCGCAGGCCGAGCCCGCCTCCCGGCACCCGCGCTGCTCCGCGTCGGGGCCCGCAAACCGCGTGCGGTCCTCCAGAGCCGGCGAGAGCGCCGGCCCTGCGCGGGGCGGGCTAGAGCGTCCGCAGCGCCGGCTCGTCATTGGCCGTGACGTCACAACCCGTCGCCCCGCGCTGCGGAGCATCGGAAAGGGAGGGAGGGCAGCGCCTCTGGGGCGGCGGCGGCTCGGCGAGCGGCCGCTTCCGCGAGCCGGGCTGGGAGGACGGTAATGAACGCCGCGCCCCCTGCGGGAGGAGTCCCGCCCTAGGGCGTTCCTGTCCCCGCACCCAGTCACGGGGGGCGTGGCCCCGGAAATCGTGCGGACCTTCCCGAGTACGGAGTTCCTGGTATTCGCGAGCTCCAGCTCTCGCTGTCCCGGGGCGGGTTCCGTCTGCGGCGGCGCGCCGGGCGGGTCGGGGCAGGGCGCCGCCGCCTCGGGCGCCCGCCGAGTCCCAGTCCCGGCGCTCCGGGGGCCGCGCCGGGCGGGTCGGGGCAGGGCGCCGCCGCCTCGGGCGGGGGAGTAGGTGCGGGCGAAGGTGGGGGAACCGGGCCTGGAGGGCTACACGTGCGAGGAGGCGCGGGAGGTTGCAGGGGACGGAAGGGGAGGCCGGGGCTCCGACGCCCCGCAGGCGGGGGAGGCTAGCCTCGGTCGAGGGGGCGGGCAGCCGGGGGTGGGTGGGTGCCCCGTGACCCAGCGGACTTGGCTTGCGCTCGCTGACCCACCTCCGCCTGGCCCCCCGGCCCCGCGCAGCCCACAGTGAATTCGCACCGTCGTTCATTACGTGGACACTTGACGTTTCCCTAACACAACATTTATAAAACGTGAGGGCGAGTATCTCTAGAGAATCATGCGCTTTTCGTTCATCTGTAACCCACAGCCTGGAGAGAAACCGGTTGTCCTGAAGGGACAGCTGCTGCATGAGTTCCTCCTTCCGTCCTGCGCGCCCCCCCCCCCCCCCGGCCAGTCAGGGAGCTGTGCCAAGGAAGCTCCCCACCTGGGAAGGTTCTGGAACGGTCGCTGCCCCCTCCTCTGAAAGAGCAGCTGTGCTCTCCTGGAGAGAGCCTCCGCTCTGCCTTTTCTGCAGTGATGGAAAGACGACAGTGACGGCGTTCAAACTCCGAGCAAGCTGCTGAGAATGACAAACCCCGTAATTTCACTTTACCGGATGTCTTTGCATCTGTCTTAGAAAGGGAGGTCTGTCGTTGAGCCCGCAACGTAGGCAGTTTTTACTCTGTGTGTCTCCTTTGAAAACGGAAATTGGAATTAGCTTTCCCCCCTAACTTTCCCGTTTCAGTTGGACAGGCATTCCCTGAGGATCCCCCATGCACTGAATACTGTCCTCATGTGCCTTGCTATGAGGCATGGCCCTTTCTCAACACAACCTCACAGTTTGTTCAACTAGTGTTTATGCAAAGTTGAAAACTGTTCTGTGACCCTAAGGAGTCCAAATGATGAGAATCAATGAAAGTACACAGGTAGGACCCAGTGTGAGAGCCCAGGACAGCCGTATAAGACAAACATGTCTGTACCTCAAGGAAGACTGGCATATGTCTCAGCAAAAAGGTAGAGTTCCAGGGAGTGTACCAGAGAAAGATGCTCAAATATGTGATAAGGTAATCAACAAATCGTTAACTTTGAGAACTTGGGATCACATACTCTAATGTTAAGCACTCTGCTAGGTTCTACGTACTGAGAAATAAAAGTAAGATGGTTGTGTTTTTTAAATATCAAAATAGGTATACATAGGCAAATAGGAATGTGCCCAAGAAGTCCGTGAGATCCAATATTCGGTATCAGATTCATTCTAATAATATATTTGTAGATGTAAATGATAAGTTACCACCCTTTTAGAGTCTAAATTTCAGCATGAAAATGTTAAAAATGATAGAGGAATATAGGTATCACAGTGTAAACCCTCATTGATTTTCCAATGAGTTAAAAAGTGAAGTGTTCAGAAGAAGGCAAAAGTCAGTTACACAGAGTCTGGGGCTTGACCTGTGGAGGACAGACAGGTGCCATTTCCTGAGAACTTACTGCATGTCAAGCACTGTGCCAGGCTCTTTAATCTAATGCACGTTTGTTCTTTATAACCCTGAGAAGCAGGCTGTGTCTTCTATGTCCACTTTATAGATGACGAAGCTGACCGAGATTGTTACTTGTCCAGAGTCACACACCTCAGAAGCCGTGCAATTAGGATTCAGACATAGCCCTGTCAGGCTTCAAAGCCCATGCTCTTTGCCACAAACAGTACAAAAGGCCAGAGATGAAATGCCAGGCATCCCCAGTGGGTTCAACACGACCTCACAGTAAACTCAGCTTAGACCAGGGATGACACATAAAAAGTTGGCAGTCTTCACTTGTGTTGCCATCAGCCTGACCCATTAAAAAAGGGTAACCACAAATTCCCACCCCAAGGGTTGAATAGGGAGCGGTCTTATAATGGATTTAGGGTGAAGGATGAGTAGCAGTATAAGGCAGGAAAGCAGAGGGGTGGGCGATCACATAGAACAGAATTTCAGAACAGAAGGTTGGAAGGCAGAGATGCTGTATGTGCTGATAGAGGCGGAGAGGGCCCGGACCAAGAAGCTGCAGAGAGAGGAACTGGGACCACTGGAGTCTGGAAGCCCCTCGAAGACAGAGGAGGCTGGGAGAGTGAGCAGTCCGACAGAGCCGTGCTTGCCCAGCGCTGCACCAAGGAGCCTACATCTTCCCTCTCCCAGGCCCAGATTCCAGATTCAGAATGGTTCCCATTGAGTCCACGGGAGATGTGCGCACTGTTGCTATGAAAGGGTTAGATGCTGGTGTTAAGTTCCCTGGTGGAAGTAGTCCTGCCTCGCCGCAGCAGGATCTATCTTTCTGAGGGGCATGCCCTTGGCCTTGACCAAAACAGTTGGTTTCTCTGGTTCAGTATGTGAGCAGATAGGTTCTGACACCTCCCACATCCTAATCTACCTCTGCTTTTTTTATCTTCCAGTTTGGCCTGGGCTAAAACGTCTACAGACCCTAGGATTGCTGTAGGTCAGCAGTCCCCACTGGAGAAGAAAATCTTGGTAAATAATCTTCACGTGGCACAGTTTGGAACTACTAGGAGAAGGAGCCTTAGGTTTAAAATCCTGCACAGGTGACCCCTCCCCGGAGTGTGTCTACACTGGCAAATGTGTTTGGCTATATCCATACTTGCAAAACAGAGTATTATGTTCAAAATGCCCAATACTATATTTTTTAAAACTAGTTATTGATTTTGGTGGTGGGTAATTCAATTCTGAGAGTTTCACCTAGGAGTGATGGGAGTAAAAATCATGATTGTTAAACACCAAAGTAAACAAGAGACCGAATATCTTCTCAGTGTCAGTGATGAGGGGAAGCTCCTGTTTAAATGTGTTTAAAAAGACAGTCACGTTATAAAATGATCTACATCACTTTGCCGGAATCTAGGTGGCGTGCATACAGCAGCTGCAAGACCGCTGATAACTCAAAAATATTAGGAGGAGTGTGAAACACTGTGTAGGGAGCAAGCTCTTTCTCTTGACTATTGGCTTGCCAAAGCAGAGTCTTATTATAATAAAATAATGGACATGATGAAAGAACAAGAGACAGGCCATGAAATGAAGAAGAGATTGGAGGGGAAAACGACCCACAGGCTAGAGAGACAAAAGCAGAATTACTTCGTTCTGGAGAGAGGTGAAACACATAGAAAGGCACATTCAGAGAGCAGGTCAGCTCAGAGAGTTGAAGACCAAAATGTGTAGACAATTACCACGGCCCCCTAGTGAAACAACATTCCCAAAAATTGTGCCAGGAGAGCACGGCGTCCTGAGCGCACAGACAAGAAGGCAGGTAAGCAAGAGGGAGCAGATGCAAATTAAAGGTCACCAGGATCGCATGCTTCGGGGGAGAGAACTGGAGCAAAGGCTCAAGGAGAGAGTCTTGAGAAAAAGCCAGAGCCAGCCGTCAACACGGGACAGGCGTGGGAGAGCAAAGAGCGAGATAAAAGAGCTTGAAAGCGTTACTGTGTATCCCCTTTACCAGCCACGCAGTAGAAGCTGGATTAAAGTGAATATCCTTATGGAAAAGAATAGAGAAGAAGTGAATACTATTATAAAACCACATCAAAGAATGTTCTTAACCATGCCACCCTTTCTGAGAAGACAAATAGGAAAAATAAAAGACTAGTAAAGTTTCAGTGCTTTTGTAATAAAATCCCTTGTCGTAAGCGAACTCTTGTTTTTCGTACTCTTCCTCGTCTGTGCCCAGAGTTCCGTGAATATTGTGTCCTTATCAGGTGCAGAAGGATCAGCTGGTTCTGGGCTTGCACCTGGCGCAGCGGTCTTAGGCACCTGGTGTTTGCGCACATGGCGAATCCTCTGATGTCGGTGTCGCCAGCTGGGCGGTGGCTGGACAACGATGGTGAGTAAGGAATTGTGATCCAGCGCTCCTTTTGTCCCTGCTCCCAGCCTTCCAGCTGTCTTGAGGTTGCTGAGGCTCAGTATGTGGTCTTTCAGTTCACTACCGGCCAGGCCCTACACGTCTGGCTCGCACCCTGCACTTTCATTTGTGCGAGGAACTTTAAGAGCCTCCTGTGTGCCAGGTATCGGGAGTGAGTGACAGGTCCCGCCCTTGACTAGGCCACGAGTAATGGTGCAGACCCCTCCGCACGCAGAGCGTGGTTGGGGCTGGGGTGGAGGCCCTCACCAGTGCGGTGCCCAGGAGGGACACCGAGCCCAGCCCAGCTGAGCAAGGAGGGCAGCCGCGGGATCCACAGCCCACGTGAGCAACATCTTCCCGACTCACCCTCTCTCAACCCTCACGGATAACTCAGAAGACAAATTGAGGCATTGAGCGAGAATTTTAATCAAGCAGCATGAAATTTACGGATTACATTTCATTTTCAGTTCAGTTCTTTATTTCCAGATAGCGAAACATTGGGAAGGTAGGGGGTGAGCAGAGAATCAGAGAAGTAGAGGCTGGACACCCTAAGGAGCACCCTCTGCAAGTCGCGTGGTCCTGACGCCCACCCCCTGGACCGGCAGTTCCCTCGTGACCCCAATACCACGTCAGCAGTGTGCAGCGGAACGTTCCTAGTGATGGGGCTCTTCTGTGTCTGCCACCTGCCCGCTCTGCCTCCCCAGCTCCCCGATTTGCCTCCCGCAGACTGTGGTCTCTGGCCTCCCATCTCCATGTCCCAGTGGCAGAGCCTCTGCCCTGCATGGTCGTATCACCCGAGTGCAAGGGGCAGGAGATGTAGAAATCCAAATCAGCAGGGCGAGGATAAGCCCTTTGAGTTGAATGGGACATACATAACTGTAGGGGCCCCTGCTGACTCCGTCACTGGAGCCTGCGACCCTTCATCTCAGGGTCCTGAGTTCGAGCCCCACACTGGGTGTAGAGATGACTTAACTGTAAGGGATTGCTTTTTTTTTTTTTTTTTTGGTTTTTGTGTGAGTAAAGCGATAGAAGTTTATTAAGTGAGATACAGAAAAAGCTCTCAAGAGGGTCCCAAGAGGGTTGCCCTTCTAAGTGATTGTTTACCATGAGAATTTTCCGTGCTGGACACATTGGTGAGATCAGCTGCCCCCTTTCTCCTCCAAAGCTAGCAGAAAAACCTGGTGATTGCAAGGCAGTTTCCCACCTCATATGGCCAAGAACAAAAGTCTGGTAAGAGGGCTCAGTTTGGCCAAACCCGATTCCGTCACCTCTGCCTCACCAACAGTTCACCTTCATGTCCTGGACTCTGTGTGAGCAGCACCATAATTACCCTAAGCACCCTTAAATCCTGAGTCACACTTGACGCTTTTCTTTTGTCTTGTATTCTTTTTTTTTTTAAGATTTTATTTATGCATTTGAAAGAGAGATCGCACAAGCAGGGGGAGAGATGTAAGCAACATCTTCACCCACCCAGCAGGCAGAGGGAGAGGCAGACTCCCCACTCCCAGGACCGTGGGCCCCGGACCACGACCTGAGCCAAAGGCAGCTTGTGAGCCTGCAGGCTGTACGCTTTTCATAGCACTGTGGTTGTGCACCCACAAGCCTGTTCTTAGGGTCTGTTCAGGGGTCTGTTGAAAGAAGGAAGGACATTGGTTAACTGCTGGCCTGGCCCCAAAGTACAAAAACAGCTGATCGGGTGCCACCGTACCTTCTTACATCCTGTCACGCACACAGTCAGCCTTTCTTTGTTCTTGTACTTCGGTCGAGGTCCTGACATATCTTTGTTCGCTTAATTTGTTTTTAATACCCTTCAATAAAATTCATGATTTTATGTATCCCCTTTCTAGAACTTTCTCTGGTCCCTTCCAGACAGGGTCACCCCCATGCCTTCTCAAGGTCCCTGGCAGCATCATAAATTAAAGTTTCATTCAAGTCTGAATAAAAGAGTTCCCAGAGGAAGAGGACAGGGAGTGAAAGTCCACAGAGACACTAGGCAAGGCGTCTGTGACACTTCTCTGCGGAACGAGAGTCCAGTTTGTCAGCCCTGAGCACTCTGTGGCTTAGCCCCAGTAGAGTTTAGAATTGTGGGGTTTGTTCTGGGCTTGAACTCTGCCACATATCAGCTGGCTGATGTGAGGAAGGTAAGTTAGGGTCTGGAATGAGATAATAAAACTTTCCTCACCCGGTTATTCCAGTGGGATAAATGAGGTGCTTTGTAGCATAAAAGGCCATAATATCATGAAATGTCCTTCTCCTGGTTTTCTTCCCCTACTTTCACAGTGTAAGTTCCTACCCAAACAGAAGTATGGACACCCCACAGTTCAGGTTTAAAATTGAGAAGAAAGATATGAATGAAAAGAGGTCAATTTGTAGACAAGGAAAAACAGCAGAGAGTAGAAAATTTAGATGGATAATAAAGCAAGTTTTTCCAAGTGTTTATAAGCTTGTTTGAAATACGTGGGCACAGGATATCATGGTAGGTGGAATCTGGGGTGGGCTAACATGGTACAGACCATGGCAAGTCATTACTCAGGAGGCCTAGACATTCAAGGCCCATTATTGATTCATTCCATACCTACTGAATCTTGTTAGTCGCAGCCTCTGCTGGACAGGGATAGAAGGATGGACAAGGCAGGGTCCTCTGCATTGTATGAGCTTACAATCTGGCGCTATAGATTGAGATAGATAATCCCATGACAGAAGTAATAAAGCTAGACAAACCATGCAAGACTCTGAACTCTGGGAAACAAACTGAGGGCTGCTGGGTGGGCGGATGGGGAGCCGGGTGATGGGCATGAAGGAGGGCACGTGATGTGATGAGCACTGGGTGTTATATGCAACTGATGGTGTACTATATGTTAGCTAACTGAATTTAAATTAAAAAGAAGAAGTAATAAAGCCAACGGAAGCAGCCTAAGTGCTTCAGAAGCAGTGGAGAAGGACACCCGGCCCTTTGCAACAGAGCTAGAGAGCCTCTTGGAAAAGCTTCAGAGAAGAGGTGGACACTTGTGCTGAAGGACAGAGATTTAATAACAGATGAGAAAGAAGGGACAGTCGGCCCGGAAGTGGCAGGTGCGCAGGGCCTGCGAGGACTGGATGAAGGAGAAGGGCCAGGCCAGCGCTGGAAGCCGCGAAGAGTTCTTGGCTCCGGCAGCTGGGAGGCGCAGACAAACAAGAATGGGCAAAAGGGATGGGAATTACTGAATTAGGAAAACAGCACTGAGAAGCCCCCGTTCAGCGTCTGGGAGGGTACCATTGCCATAAACCCTTCATTGAAACAGGATTGGAAACCGAGCTAAAAAGTGGAGTTTTTAGAAGGCGAAATGGGTCAGGAAATGCCAGAGTAGAGCCCGTGGTAGCAAAGGCATGAGACTATAGCTCTCATCCTGCCAAAACCGGTCAAAGAAGTCACCAGAATACAGGCTGGCGCCCAGAGAAATCCGTAGGGCTGTATCTGGAAAGGTCTCCGACGGCGACCAGCTCTACCCGATGGAGCGTGCTGCTGAGAGCCGCGCAGCCCCTTCCGCACGCGCCCCGCGCTGCTGGCCTTGGGGGTGATCCCTTACAGATGGATGTTCCTTTGATCTTGAGCTTATGCGATAGAATGCGGGCCTCCCTCCCTGCTCGCTAACGGGAGAGCATTCCTGTGGAACCGAACCTCAGCAGAAATGACATAAAGCGAAGAGTAAGCCCTGCTTTCCAAATGCGCCTGGTACCCCACTTTGTTTCTACATCAGCTTACATTACTACCTGTTTTCTCTAACAGCAAAACATCCCAAGAGGGTTTTCACTCCTACGAGAGAAGCCACTGCCAAGCGGGCTACTGCAAACTCAGAAAGTGGGGACACCTGCGTTTTGTTTGGGGTGTGAGGCGGGCTGGTGGATTTAAGTCTTGAGGCAGCCTTGGATAGCTGCACTTACTTACTGGTTTCTGAGTTTATAAGCAATCGCCAAGAGAGAGCAGTTGTGAATGTTGGCATCCCTAAATATTTGGGTAAGTTTAGCGCAAGCAGCAAACTTGGTGGTTGTGTGCAAGGGTGGCTGGTGCTCCGTTTGATCATGTTTTTACAGTGATAAGTTCTGTCCGAAATGAAAGATGCCTCACAAACCATCACATGGATTGATAAGGTGCATCTCAAGAAGATAAGAAAAACAGGAAACTTGTTATTGGAGGAGCACCCCCAGCTGATAGGTTTCCTCGAAGTTTTTCCCTGTGAATGTAGCAGAAATTCCCAGGAGGTAAGGTACAAGGGGAAAATATGAAGGAGTATGGCTTACTTTCTGTGGGTAGCAGGAGCCCAGGTCATCTGTTTAGAGATAGCGGAAAAATAAGTCTTGAGTAGTGGGTTCCAAATGGACCAGGGATTCTGGAATTTCTTATTATAGACTCAAGTCAAGAGTCTGCCCTTTAGGAATAATGTTGGTCACGGGAATGAAAGCACGGGGAATCTAGTCAAGGGTATCGTAATAGTAGTATGGGGATACAGGGTAGCTACACCTGTGGTGAGCACTCTGTAACCTACAGGGTTGTCAAATCACTGTTGTGCACCTGAGACTACTGGGACATCGCGTGTCAACTGCACTCACATTTAAAAGAATAATGCTGGGAAGTGTGATGAGTTGAAATGCAGCAACGTCATGGTCAGATTTTCTTGTTTGCAAGCCTTAGAAACTTGCTTGGGTGAGTATAAAGAAAAAAGGAAAATCAGTAGAAAGTATCTTAAAATATTTCATGTCACTGGGCCTCACAAGAGATGGGAACAAGGCAGTAAGTACGCCCTACCCGTCTTGGTTCTGCATCTTTCCTTGTGTCTGCTCATTCCTGTTCCCTCTTTGTTCTCATAGTGGAAAATGGCACCTCTCTGCTCTCTCAGAAACATATGCCAGCAGCTGTTGTCTCTCCTCTATACTCAACAGCTCCTTTTCAACTGGGTCATTCCTACTGAACTATAAATATTCTCAAATCTCTCCCATTTAAGCAAGCTACCATGCTATTCCTTTGCACTCCTTCCAAGCCAGATCTCCTAGGAAGTCTGTAGAAGCTGCCTGCCTACACCACATCAGAAACTAATGGTGTAATGTATGGTGATTAACATAACAATTAAAGAAAAAAGAAGAAGAAGCTGCCTGCCTTCTGGCCCCAGTGCCCATCTATCCACAAATCCCCTGTCACTGAGTCATCAAAGAGCTCCATGCAGCTAAGCCCAATGGACATTTGAGGGTAGAATGAAGAAAGGAGAGGGTGCCAACAACAGGCAGAACCTGACAGGCATGTGGCAGCAAAGGCAGCCTGGAAGAGACAACCACAGCTGGAGGGTAGGCGTCCAGTCCTTAGAAAACAGGAGGGCAAGGACATCAGTAGACCTGAGGACTGGTAGACAGGGAACCAATGGAGCCCATTCAAGGAACTGGAACAGGGCACCTAAGGTACAAGATAAGCAAACAGAATACTCGGGATGAAAGACCAGAGCAGGAGTAGAAAGGTTGACAAAACTGAACTGCGGACTTGGGTTTCACTGGGGATAGGCAACCACCTGGTGAGAGTTAAGAAAGCCCCAAATAGAAACAGACTATAAGGTTACAGGGCCAGGAGACAGAGCAGACAATTACTATAACGCTCATGCTGAGTCAAGTACGTGAAATAAGACTTTGAACTCATTGAAGCATGTCTGATGGCATCTTTAACCATGAAAGGTGAAGTGCTTGGAAACTGAGCCTCGGGACGTACGGTTTACAAGATTGGTGTGTTGTTTTATATAGATCTAATTATATAGCCTTTCACTGGATTAGGTAAAATTCACCTGTTACCTACTGTCAGTTCAAATAGTGAATAAACTGTACCTCATCTGTCATAAATCATATTTTTGCTGGTAACCTCATAGCAGAGAGTAGGATAGTTGTATAGAAGGAGAAAATAAAACGTATCTGCCATGCATCAAATACAATTAATTTTTTCACTGAATCATCAATACATCTGGATTCCAGGATAATGAACATACCCTGACTTACTAGAGAATAAACCAAAGTTTCCCATATTAACATAAAATTTTGTTGAGAGGAATAAGAAATTTAGCCAATAGATTTCTCAAACTTTCTGGGATGTGCATGTAACATACCCAGATATTCTTTTATGTTTATATACGTCTTTTATAGATGTAAAGTTGTGCTCTGTAATGTGGGGGTCTGTCTCTTTTTGCTTGCCCAAGGTTTCTTTGTGGTAAGCAAATTCCCACCCTCCTCCTCTTAGAGAATTGCTTCCCCCCAAAGTCCCAGCCAACCACAGCACCTGATCTTCGTGGCACAGTGACTGACATCAGTGTAGCCAGTGGTTGGCATGTGTCTCAAATGACACCGATCAGAATCCTTCCCTGTTTCAACAGGAGGGACAAGAACATTTTTATAAAAGTACAGAAACCCATTATGTACTCCCCTTTGGTCTGCATGGGACTTGGGACGTAGTGAGCAGTGTACTCAATCAAGTGGTCGTTCTCCTTATAATCTAGGACCAAGTAAATCTGAGAATCCAAGTAGCTGGGCCAGAATTAAGTTCGAATCTCTTAGCACCACCCCCCTCCCATTTCGGCTGGATTGCTCCCAACAGGGGGTACCAGCCAGGCCAGCCTGGGGCTATTATTAGGCTATTAGGGAAAAGAAAGAAACACCACGTCCAGGAATTTCCAAAATAGGTCCATATAACCTCCTGTCCTGGTCATTAGGAAGTGGCCAAGAGGAGATGATACTTTTGGGGGGATAGCAGCCTATGGTGGCCAAGCTGCCTTACAAAGGTGTGTGGGCCAGGAGGAAGTGAGGAAAAAAGACTAAGAAAATCCTTTTTAGTGAATTTTGAGAGGGCTGTTCAGCCTCTGAATGGTGGTAGGAAGCATGAAAGATCCACTAACTACCTTGACTATCAGCCCATTGTGTGAGACTTTGCAATGAAAGGCATACCATTGCCAAACTAGAATGGTCTGGAAAGCCAAAAGCATGGCACAGACTAGTTTCAAGGGCCACAGTACTATTGCTGGGGTAGGCTGACTGGACTAGAATAGCAACACTGTACCCTAGAAAAGTGTCAGCACGAATAGGTGCAAGAGAGGGCCAGAGGTCTGATGAGTCCACATGCCTGGAGCAGGTGTGGACAAGGCCCCTTGTCATGGGGCCTCTCTGCGTGTAAGACAAGCAGGTCACAAGTCAAATCAGAGACTGAATCCTTTCTTGTGTGCCCAGTCTATGATGGTGGATGTCCTGTCAGGTCTGGGATGATGATGGATCCAGAAGGCAGTGGGGGTGATCTGCACAAAGCAGCCTCCCTCAGCAGATGGGCTCCAGTTTGGCTCATCAGAGAACAGGTGCCTCCTAGGGGCATCCACCTGAGTGACAGATGGCTGGGTCAGCAGTTGGGTTTATTTCCAGTTTGCAGCTCCAGAGAGAGGTGTCTAACCAGTCTAGTTTTCCAAGTGCCAGACCACTGGGACAGCCCAGGAGTCAGTAAAATGACAGGAAGGTTGATCAAGGGGAGTACTGGGGAGAGCCATGACAACGGCCTTGGGTTCTGCCCAGCAGGGAGAATGGCGGCCTCCATTTTTGGTTCTGAATAACTAGCACTGGGACTGAATGTTGGCTTCAGCCTGAGACAGCACTCAGCTCAGCTGCCCCACCGTGACCCAGGACCAGGGCCCTGAGAGCCCTATTGAGCCAGCAGCTTTGGTCCAGATGGCAGAGTGAGGGATAGCACTGTCCCCAGAGGGACATCTGCCACTTCTCCACATGGACTGAGCTATGGGGGCCAGGCCAGCTGCACCCTTAAATGTACCACTTCCATTTCAGAAGCAAGGCCTATTGGATCCTCCCCACTTTGTGAGAAGTTGAGTCCCAGCTGACCTACCCTCCAATGTGACTATTCAGCCAGAATGTCAGAAAGCTTCCTTGGGTCAGGTGTTGAGTTTTGACAGGAGCCCAGAAACAAGCTAAAGCTGCCTTTCTAAAAGAGTGTACCCAGTAACTGTGTCCAGAGGGCGGTGGGTGCGAGACTGAGGGTACCACTGAGCACAGGCTACTCCCTTCGTCAGAGCTCTCATCAGCAAAACCATCAATCACAGACACTTGTAGCTGTTGGTCGGAAACCTCAGGAGTTTCCCCAGGTGAAAGCTCAAATTGGCCCCCATACGTGCAGGGCAAGGAGAAACTGAAGAAAAAGCAGGCCACTCCCGATTGGTACGTGGCAGTTTCAGTAAGCAAGGGAACTCACGTATTACCTTTGTCTTGGGTGGTCACAAGACAAGTAGGTGTCCACACCTGCCCACCAGAATCTTACAAGTTTATAGAGAGGCCTTGACTGGGTTTAGTTATGTATTCAATCCAGAGGGTCTCCACAACAGCTCTGTCTCAAGACTGTGTCCTTGAAACACGTCCCACTGTGAAGATGGTGGGTGGAATATACATTCCAAGGACAGGGAGGGAGGGAGGAGGACCGCCGGGGTCCTGCTCTCGGGTCAATGGGTGGTCATGTCCTCTCGATGAGCCCCTCCAACAGTAGCTCCAATGACCGAGAGCTTGCCACAGCTTGGTAGATTGTTACAATGGGGCAGAGGACTTCCCTTTTGTTGTCTCTGAATGAGAAAGAACTGGGGCAGCAGTTCTAGACCAAGGACCAGGAAATTGGCATAGGGTTTTACAATTTACAAAATACTTCCGTTGGGGCGCCTGGGTGGCTCAGTTGGTTGGGCATCTGCCTTAGGCTCAGGTCATGATCCCAGGGACCTGGGATTGAGCCCGGCATTGGGCTCCCCACTCAGGGAACCTGCTTCTCCCTCTCCCTCTGCTCATGGTCTCTCAGTCAAATGGATAAATAAAATCTTTAAAAAAAAAAAAAAGAAGGGGGCGCCTGGGTGGCTCAGTTGGTTGAGCGACTGCCTTCGGCTCGGGTCATGATCCTGGAGTCCCGGGATCGAGTCCCGCATCGGGCTCCCTGCTCGGCGGGGAGTCTGCTTCTCCCTCTGACCCTCCCCCCTCTCATGTGCTCTCTCATTCTCTCTCTGTCAAATAAATAAATAAAATCTTAAAAAAAAAAGAAGAAGAAGAAGAAGAAGAAAGAAAGAGAGAAAGAAACTTTTGTAAACATTGCTTCCATTAAATCCTCAAAGACAATTGCCAAAATGGTGCCCTGGTTGTTGCTAAATTCCAGACCTGGGTTGGAAAGGCTCAGCATCCGAGGGACTGTTTCCTACTTGCACAGACAGAATAACAAGTCTTACCTCAGGGGATATTTGAGGGGACTCAACGGAGGCCATGTTTGCAAATGTATTTTGTAAATTGTAAAACCCCATGCCAACGTGAAACATAAAAGATGATCATAACACAAAGTGGAATACGATAAGTGTTGATGTGGGAATGGTGGGTTTTGGAGCTGACGGCCAGGAGAGACTTTGGTGCAAGAAGGTGGTTTTATTAAAGCACAGGGACAGGACCCCTGGGCAGAAAAGAGCTGCACCGGGGTCCTGAGCAGTGGCCCATTGTACACTTTCAAGTTGGGAGGGGGTAGGGACAGCACAGGCCTCCAAGATATTTTGGAAACAAAATAAATGACCTATTGTTAGGAAAGGTCATTTATTACTGTCAGTAAAAACTTAGTCATTCGACCCTTTAGATGTGTATCAGTGGGTTATCTGCTTGGGGAATGGTTGCTAACATACATTTTGGGTGGTAGAAATAAAGGAAGTTTCCAAAGGAATTTCTATATGTTTAAAATAGACTCACAGGATCCTGGGGTCAGGCTAAGGTTGCCTTTTGCCCTTAGCAAAGTGTCCACATCCAGGCAGCTGAGCTCCCAGAGGAAGGTCACTGCCTGTTTCAAGGACTTGTCAAGGAAATTTAATTTTTTTCTTTTGCCTTTGTTTCCCACATCAAGTGCTAATTAAGTGGAAAACAATAAATGTGATACCCATTGGACTGATTAAAGACCTATATATGTCCCACTGAGCCTGGGCACCTGGGTGGCTCAGTCGTTAAGCGTCTGCCTTCGGCTCAGGTCATGATCCCAGGGTCCTGGGACAAAGCCCCACAGTGGGCTCCTTGCTCAGCGGAGAGCCTGCTTCTCCCTCTGACTGATGTTCCCACTGCTTGTCTCTCCCTGCCCCCTGTATCAAATAAAAAAATAAAATCTTTAAAAAATAATATCACTGAGCCAGGTTGAACTGGGTGAGGTTAAGTGCCCGAGGAAGTGACCTCTACCTGCCATGGTCCTCCCCGCACTCCCCTACCTCCAGCATTTTGGTCAAGGTGTGCAATCTCCCCTTTACCTTCGTTTTTCTAAGATGTGCCTCCGCCCCTCTTCTGGGGGCCCGTGCGTCTCGTTTTGGCTCTAGATGGTGGTGGTTGGAGGTTGTGAGTTTTAATCGGAGATAATCCTCTTTTTTCAAGAGCAAATTAAGATTGGAAATAAGGCAAGATCCCGGCGCTAGGTGGGACCAGCGGTTGCTACTGGTAGGAGGGTGGGCTGGTGAGGGGGCGGGGCTCTCTTCCTTTCTGGCTTCTCTGACTGTGAACTCTTGACCTTGGTGGGTCCACAGCCTTAGCTAGGCCCCCGGGGGCAGGGAACGCGGTGGGCTCGTGGAAACCGGCCGGGAGAGCGGGACTGCCCGGAGCTGCCGGCGCTGGGCAAGTGGGCACTGGGCCCCCTCAGTCCCTGTCCTCAGTGCACTGCGGGTGAGTGGGGCAGCTGGGTGTTGAGCTTTTGGGGATGGAGGCAAGTACAGGGTGTTCGTCCCGCACTCCTCGAGCCTGAAGCAGGCAGGCGGGCATTGCACCCGTCATCTTGGAGAGGCTCCCAATCGCTGGGCCCTGGGGAAAACCTGGGTGTCAGGGGTGTGGCCTGGGGCACCCACTTCTTCGGCCACAATGGGGGCCCCTGGCTGGAGTTGAGAAAGAGGGGATCCCAGAAGGGAAGTTTCGGCCGGTCGATGGGAGCACTGCAGCCCCATCCAGTGGGAGTTAATAGTCTTCTGTCTCCTTCCTGCCTGTGGGAGGTTTCACCCCGAAGCGACTAAAGGATCTGATCGCAGGGCTGGGCCTGGCTGGAGAGGGTCCTGGAGGGACTGACCGGAGCTGAGGGGCGGAGGGCAAGAGCCTGAGGGCCTTCCCCGGCTGGAGAGCCCAAGACTCCAGCAGCTGCAGCCCGGGGTGCTGGCGGGTCCCACAAAGTCTGGCAGCGGTGTTGGGGCTTTTGGTCCTTTTCAGAATTGCTGTGGGAAGTCGCTGACGGTGGTTTTGTCTTGGGTCAGAGAGATTGGGTGCTCTGTGAGGACGGGAAGATGGCGACAGGTTCCCTGAGGGCATTTACATTCGGGAAGGGCGGGTCGGCGGGTCGCCTTCCCCTCTGAGGGGTGTGGGTGTAGAAAGCGTTCGGGGACGTTGCAGGGGCCTGCCACAGCTGCTAGCAATTCCGACCCCACAGCCTTGCTCAGTCCCCAAACCAGACGTCGGGTTGAGGATCTGGACCAGGGCCTCTTCCCAGCGCCCCCAGCAATGCTGTTTGGAGGACCAGCGGGGAACAGGACAGCCTCCTGGGTCCTCGGGCTGCCGGGTAGGGGAACCATCCCCACCTGACATCTCGAACGACGACTGTGAACAGTCCTGATGGGAAGGAAGGAGGGACAGAGGGACTGAACCTCACCGTGCACTTCTGCCTCCTTTTCAGCAATCCAATTAACTCCATCGTCAAATGTCCTTTTTCTGTCTATTTTCAGTTTCACCACCAGTCCAGAAAAAGTGAAAGAAAAAAAAGCTCAGTGGGTTTTTATGTCTTTGTTCAAGGGATTGCACCTCAAGAAGGAGAAGTGAAGTGAGAGGCTGCCCGCGGAGGAGGTGGGGGTTGGGCAGGAGCTCCCTGAGCGGCCGGCGTCCCCAGTGCGGGGCTCACCAGAGCCAAGTGTTTCCTGCCGGCTTGTTACCTGTTGAGTCTTCACGAGGATCTTTATGATTCCCTTACAAGAAGTACATGTGAAAAACCCACAGAATCCCAGTTTTCGGTACTAGATGGGGTCTTAGAGAGTGTCTCCTTTCCCATTTTCTAGTGAGACGCTGTCAGAAGGGTGAGACTTGCACTAGGGGGTTTGAGACAGATCCAGGGCACACCCTCTGTGCAGAATTCTGCACGGTTGCCCGAGAGGGTGCTTGAGACACGGGCATCCTGTCCTCAGTGGTAGAGTCTAGGCTTTGAACACTAACTCTGCTGTGGACGGAGCTTCTTAGCGTCTCTGCACTTTAGGTCCCTTGAAATGGGGTTGGTAATTATGACGTCCCAGGGCTGCGCTGACACAGAGCTGGGCTTTGATAATTCTTGGTGTTCCCTGACCAGATACGGGCGCCATTGCCGCTCACTCCCCATCTGGTGATGCGTTTTGTTTCTCTCTGACCTCAGGTTTGGAGAGGTGGGCACCGGCCAGGGGCTGAGGCAGGGCAGACAGAAGGCAGATGTCTGCGGAGCCCCGGTAACCAGTCCCTAAGCCCTGAAGCCCGGGCTTTGAGGGACCAGAGGTGTGACTGCAGAACAAAACCAGGAAGAGCAGGTACATGCGTCCCGGGAAGCCATGCCAAACCTCAGGGAGGCCTCTGCACAGCCTCTCTGTCTGCACAGTGACCGGGACACACAGAGCCCCAGGAAGGGGTCCAGTAAGTCCTGGGGGCCAGGCCAGGAGTGGACAAAGCTGGAAGCAGACACCGTGGAAGAGAAACTGCTCCTGCAGGTGGATGAGGCAGCCCGGCGGGAAGCCGTGGAGAGAGAGTGCTGGTGGGGGGCGTGGCTGGAGGTGAGCAGAGCCAGAGGGAGGGCGGGACACTCCCAGACCGGAGCTGTTTCGTCTGTCCCCCGTCCGTGGTCAGATGGGGTTTCAGACGGTTCCAAGCTGAACAACCCCCCGGGCCAGGGGCTGCCAGGCCTGTCTCAGCCCCCGCCTCCACCCCGCCCTGCAGCCCTCCATGGAGCGCCAGCCCTTCTTACGTTGTTCAGTGCACACCAGCTCCCCCCCACCCCCATCTTCCTTTCCTTTCTGGGGATTAACATTGCTGGCTCTGTGCCTGTCTGTTCCTATTTCTCCCCTCCGTCCATGGTTTTATTTTTCTCTCGGGTTTCTAAACCTTGTGCTTGGATGACTCCCTGAGTCTCTCCTACTCTCCAGAAGCCAGTCACCTTTGACGATGTGGCCGTGAATTTCACGCAGGAAGAGTGGGTGTGTCTGGACGCCAGTCAGAGGGTCCTGTACCAGGATGTCATGTCTGAGACATTCAGAAACCTGATGTCTGTGGGTAAGAGGCAAGGGTTCCCTCAGCCTGCCCCCTGCCCCAGGACCCCGCCCAGGACCCTGGGACACCTGGCTTCCCTGAGTAGGTAGATCAGCTCACAGCTCACTTCACTGACCCTGCACCTTCTATACCTTCCAGGTGTGAAAGATCTAGGTCACTAAGCTCAGGGTGAAAGGACAAGAAATGAAAGCCTGCACGAAGGCAAAGATAATACTTGGAACATGTTAATTTGAAAATGTACCTATTCAAATGTACCAGTATTTACGGAATTGCTCCTATTATGTGCCAGGAACTTCGTTAGGAGGGTCTCCTCCCTGCACCTAAGTGTCCCAGATTAAGTTCTTAGGCCAAGGATACAGAAGAAGGTAGCCTGTTGTCCTCCCTGGGTATGAAGGGGCCAAGCCTGGGACCTCAACTCTCTCTTTCCTTCCCACCCCCAGTCAGAATCTTTCTGTCTAACCCAGATCTGATCATCGAGCTTGAACAAGAGGAAAAACAGTGGAGAGCAGAGCCCCAGCTCCGTCCCCCAAATGGAGAAGGCCTCCCTTCAGGTAAGCATGGCAGAGGAGGGGCGCAGGCAGGGGCCCAGGCCATGCCCTGGGAGGGTGGAAGCCTGCCTCCGAGCACCAGGGCTGGGCGCGTCCTATCCCAGCCTGCATCCTTCTCCCCTGGCTCCACTTGGAGCTGCGAGAGGGCTTGAGACCATGTGCTTGCATCCCTTGGCTCCAGAGGAACATCTGTTTAGGACAAGCAAATATCTGCAGTTTCAGGGATTGGAGTACATATAGGTTGCCTACATCCCTTCCAGGGGAACAGGAGAGGAAGGGATAGGAGCTTGTGCTGAGCCCAAGGAGAGACTCATGTCTGAGATAGAACAGGAAGGAGAGAGATTTCAGGCCGGGCTGACCACGGCTGCTGGTGTGCACTTCCCATTCTAGCTGGATGAATAACGGCGCCGCCTTTCACTCAGGGTCCCCACTTAGGAGGTCACCGGCAGGTGTCGTGGGAGCGTGAGACACTGAAAATGAGAGGAAATGGAGTTCGAGAAATGTGGGTATAGGCTAAAGTTCTGACCTCCGCTCTTGTTGAAAGACTCCACTTTAAGTGTTGATTCACTTTTAATTTGGAAACCCAGAGGTCCATTCTGCCTGTAGCCTGTGAGGTGCAAGAGTGAGAGAGAGCATGTCCGACGGGCACGTGAGGGAGCCAGGGGGGCCGGGGCCTGAAGGGGAGCTGGTGCGGGGAGTCCTATGTCCCTCCTCCTCCTCCCCTGCAGGCGGCAGGAAGAAGGCACTTCAGGAAGAGGCTCGGAGGCTGCGAGACCACAAGGGGCCCCTTGCCTGTGGAGGGGCAGGCCCAGCCTCTGCTGCCATGGGGTCCGCGCACAAGGCCCCCGCGCTGCCCGCGTCCCAGGCCGGGCCGCCCTTCCTGTGCTACCTGTGTGGCCGGAGTTTCAGCAAGCGCTCCAACCTGCACAGTCACCAGTTTGTACACAGTCCCCACACGGTGAACAGCTGCGGCCAGTGTGGGAAGTGCTTCCGAAACCCCAGGGACCTCAACTACCACAGGCGCACGCATCTCGGGGAGAGGCCCTTCCGCTGCCCGCTCTGTGACAAGACCTACTGTGACGCGTCGGGGCTGAGCCGTCACCGCCGTGTCCACCTGGGTTACCGGCCCCATTCCTGCCCCTGCTGTGGCAAGGGCTTCCGGGACCGGTCCGAGCTCAAACGCCACGAGAAGACACACCAAAACCAGGAGCCGGGGGCCAGAGACCAGAAGCACATTGGGAGGATCCCGGGCCCTGGATCTCAGGAGTGCACTGATGGGAGCCAGCAGTCTGGCCGGGAGCTTGTGGCTGTGACCCACGCCCTGGAGGCCAAGACCCAAGAGCCCACCCCTGGAACCAAGGGTCCTGTGGCTGAGGGCCAGCCACCTATCGACAGGAAGCCGGTGATCACTGCGAGACGGTGGGCACCAGCCAGTGCAGCGCCGGGGCCTGGGACCAGGACGCAGACACCCAGCACGAGAGCCCCCGCCCTGGACCCCGGGCCCCACTGTCCCCCAGCAAAGCCCTCAAGACTCAAGGTCTTCTCTTGCCCCCGTTGCCCCTTGACTTTCAGCAAGAAAGCCTGTCTCTCTAGCCATCAGAAGGCCCAGCTCT